GCTTTAGTTTCTTTCTCTGAAACCAACTGAGAGTTTCCTTGGCTTTGTGTTTGGGCTCATTGTCTTGCTGAAATGTCCAGCCACGTTTCATCTTCTGTTGTTTTCCATAACAAAAGTAATGAGCTCAGATCCTATCCATTAGGCAAGTGTGCACAAATTAGTACTGTTTGTAAGGTTTATGTTTCTTTATGACATATTTAATGTGAAATTCAATTCTAAAACTTTAATTTTACTAAAGGATAACTTTATTAATGTGAGATGCTATGATTTACACAAACATTTTTTCTCCTTGGTAAATACCTTTTTAAATACCTTGAAAAAAATAAGTTAATGTTCTACTGAACCACAGCTATTTGTTACTTTAGTAAAAGTGAAATAACAGCCATTATTTTTTTTATTTCTTTAGCTATCTATTTGTTAAATTATTTTTCTGTCACTTTTTAGGTTAATAAAAAAAAATCGTGATGTTAGTCAAGATTGGACGATGTGAAAAAATTAATCATGATAATTTTTTTGCCATATCGGCCAGCCCTATGAAGAAGTGGGAACTGCATTATTTGTTTTAGAAGAGGACAGAGAGGAAGTGTGCACCAAATGCCACATACCTGCCTAAGTTTGGGCAAAATCTTATCGTGTGCAAGTAATCGTTAGAAAAACTATCACAGGTTAATATTTGGTGCAATTACTGCGATTAGTTCTACATGATGATGATGTATGATGCAATGCACTCTCATGATCAGGCACGCATTTGAGCCCATAACACAACAACAATGGTGTAAGGTGGTGTGGAGCAGGTAACCACAACACTATGAACATGTTAAATCATCAGCCGTGTACTCTAGTGCTTTTTAGCTGGTTTGTTTTTTAAGCTCTTTTTTAACACTTGCATTACACAAATGCAAAAAATAACCTATAACCATTGCATTCTGTGACATTGATTACCCCTTAAAAGCACTTGGGACTATAATGGTGAGTGTTGGATTTTAACTTCTTTCTCAGTTCGTCCGGCATCTCTTTCCTTACTCTGCTCCATGTGTGGTTCACACAATCGTACCAAACTACCCAGTGTAGGGGTTTGTGCTGTCTAAAGTGGCTGAATTGCTGATTGTGGAGGAAAATTGTTCCAAAAATATTTTATGGGTTGGTTTGTAGTTATATGATGTATTAAATGATGTTATCTAGAGAACATGTTGTACTCATGGAGTCTAAATGTGTTACGGCTACTGATGGCGAAGAATGCTTGAGTTTGTCTGCTGAATCATAAGGTCACCTTATCTGTCTCCTGCTGCCTAATCAAGCAAAACTGGGCAAATATACACTTCATGTTTGTGTTAATTGTGGCCACAATTTCTGCAGACGCACTGAGCTCTGCTGAACTTGTCATAGCATATATTTTATATTATTTCTAATTTTATTTTTATTTGATTGCCTTGCCTTGCCGTGACTCTTACCACCTTCAGGACTTTAGCATAACTCCATGACCACAGATATCACATCTGCACTAGGTTGTTTCTGTGACTTTGTGACAATCTGCAGAATTTTCATATGGGAGGTTTATGGGGCTCCACCTTCAGTTTCAGTCATTCTTCCTTTCTCATCCATGAGACCTGACCATGATGAGAACAGGTGTTTTTGCTTTGCATCCAAATGCTGAATGAAGGATTGCTAAGTACGATGCAGTATTTACTGGCGTATGGAGAGTGTGAGTTTATTTCAGCCATGTAGTGACAGAGTGGTGTAGTGTATTGGTTGTAGCAAGTGGCAGCAAGACCAAAATCATTGGAATAGCTTAGCCAGCCGGTTCGGATGTTATCAGTCCATTGAATGGATGTTTAGTGGTTATCAGTCCCATAGAATGGCTTCAGACTGTCCCGACAGTACCCCCTAGTGGGTTACTGGTGCCATATACGTTGGAATGCAACAATCTGCTACCGCCGGACTCTACTTTATCGTAGCCCATCCTCATACTAACCAGCTGACAGTCTGAAGCCTTTCTGTGGGACTGATAACGGCTAATAACGTCCATTTAATGGATGAAAACATAGCACGCTGCCTGTGTGTTCTAATGGGTTGTAGCCAAGGCATGAGGCAAGCATGCCCAGTCCTGCGTCATGGATACACTGCCACCATGACAATAAACTACCATGATTTTGCCACAGAGGTTTTGTGTGTGCTTAAACTCCATGACCTGTCTCACTTTATCATGTAACGAGGAATCCAGGGTGTTCTTAATACACAACTGACTTTGTCAAGACTCTGCACAATAACCTTCCTGGTTCTGGATGTTTTTATTTTAAACTTCACAGCAAGGTCACCCAGTGTGAAAGGGACGTTGAGTACAAACTTTTCTCCTGTTAGTCAGTTACCATGTAGTTTAGTGCTAAATGTAATAAAATGTGTAAAGCAGCAACAATATAACCAGTCTTTTATTTGTTTATATAACAGTATTTGTGATTATTGCATGTTTGCTGTCAGACAGTCTCACCACCAAGTGATGTTCAGCAGCTGTTCTGGGGTAGATCCTTTAAAGGAAGCATGTCATGTAGAGGATCACTGATGACGATGAAGGTAATTGATGCTTTCACAGTTCTCAGCCTCTCAACCAGCTGAGACGTGTTGTTTAGGGTGGAGCTGAATTCTTCATGCCAACAAGTCTAAATAAAAGTCTGATGGGACGAGTTCTGTTCAGACTAAATATCTCTGCCCTGGAGTAATATAATAAAAAAAAAAATTGCCCATAATCTTTAGATCTTGTTGTTTGTCAGAAGTAAAGGCTCCTTATCATGTGGTATGCTACAGCAAACACACTGTTGTTTCACACATTTTAAAAGGTTTATTGTGTCATATTCTGAAACAAATTGGTTAAAGTGCTATAAGAACTTGTAGTCCTTCCTGAAGCTACTTTAAATAATAGATTCTGCGCTCCAGCTATCTGTGAAGTGTAGAAGATCACCTCTCCAGCCTTTACGCTGCACTCCCCGGTGCTGGGACCTGATGTTTCTTTCCTACAGACAAACTTTAACATGTTCAGACCATGAGGTGGTCCTGTGTTCCTGTCATGAGTTAACACACACAATCGTGCTGTAGCCTGCCTGTGAACGCTTTTGCAATCGTGGAGAACAAAGCGTAGAGTCTCTGCATCCTGTTCTCTCTTGTTTTACATCTGACCTGTGGTAACAGGAAACCAAAGTAATGAGAGACAAAGCTCATTTAGAGCCTGGTGTTTCACAAACTCCAAAATCTTTGACCTAAAATGTTGAGTCACTGCCACCTGTTGCTGTTTTTTAACTTCTTTTTGTTGTTGTTGTGCTTCCAAGGTGTCCCCTTCAAGCGTAACTTCATGTCCGTGGCCAAGACGATCCTGAAGCGCCTGTTCAGGGTCTACGCTCACATCTACCACCAGCACTTTGACTCGGTCATGCAGCTGCAGGAGGAGGCCCACCTCAACACATCCTTCAAACACTTCATCTTTTTTGTTCAGGTGAGGGAACTCGGACCTGGTTTCAGGATTTGTCCTGGATGATCTGTAAAAACGGTTATCTCTTAGTTTGGTATCTTAAACACCCCTTTTTCCTGAGCAGGACCTCCAAGTAAACTGACGTGACCTCACACCAGCTACAGTTTTTGTTTGGATGTCTTAGTTCAGATTAATTCTACTCAAGTTGTACTAGTTAAAGATAGCCTTCTTTGGTTATGTTCTGAAAATCTCTCTCTCTTTTTTGTCTTTGTCTAAAAGTTTTAATGAAAGGATTATCAGGACACTATAGAGAATTTTTATTTGAAGTTTGTTCTGATTATTTGTAGAGCTGATTGAACCCACTGTGGTCACCATGGTACAATATTCCGTGTCAATCAGAACAACAGCCTGAGCTGAGTCCTGTCATATTGTATTCACCTAATTCAGGAGTCAAACTTTGACTGAAAGAGACATTTTTACACTCTTATCCACAAAAAACCCCACAAAACCTACCCTATTTTTCGGACTATAAGCCACACCGGACTATAAGCCGCACCCCCCACCCCCCATCAGTAAAAACAAAAACAAAACAGTACACCCAAAATTGTGGTCAAAAAAGTGAATTCAACATCACATTTATTTTTAAGAAAAAGGTTGGCAAGTTCACCGGTACAAAATAATAATAATAATAGTAGTAGTAGTAGTAGTAGTAGTAGTAGTAGTAGTAGTAGTAG